CACCCAAGCAAGGGACCCGCAAACCGGTTGGCCGCAGATTATTCCGCGTTTCCCTAGCTCCAGAGTTCCTCGCATCGCGGCCGGGGCCGTTTGATCGCGGCTGGCGCAATTTCCAGTGTTTTTTTGCGTGCAGCGAGGTCACCCAACGGACGCGGGGGTTGCGGAGAGCCCATCTCCTCTTGAAGCCTGCCAGGGCGCCATTTCATTGGCTGCTGCACATTTTTGGCATCCCTGTATTCCTATTATCACTTCGCAACAAACGTCAAACGTTACGTCACGATCCGCAGGGTCGACTATTGTTAGAGTGGACAAACTAACCGAGACAACGTTATCTATTAAGAAACGAATGTCATCCATGTGGAATGGGAGCACATGAAATGAACAGCTCATACGTAGAGCGCTTACCGTGCAACGCTCAGGGGGGTCTGACTCATCGAATTCACATACGAATGGCATGCTGTTTTCACAGTCGGTGTCAAACACATTCTTGGTCCGTCCCCGGCGGTCCACTGCCGCACAGTTATCTTCATCTCTCGCCCTGGACGCCCAAAGAGAAGACCCCGTCTCCCTTATTTCGAACGGCTGCTCTACATCCTCCTCGGACACTAGCCATCTGCAGGAAAGCAAAGAATTTGATGTGGGAGGGCGAGCACGGACGCCTCATCGTGTTGCGTCGATCAGCAAATGCATCGGTGGTGATGAGAAAGGAGCTAGCTGCAGTTCCACCGACCCCTCGGATGGAAAAGGAACACACGTAACACCGAATGGAGAAAAAATCCTCGGAGCTCAAGAGTCCGCACCCTCGGCTTCAACTTGAAAGAACGAACGAGCCTTGAAGTGGGAACTGAGCCCACAATCTATTTTGTATCGAAGATGACGCTCTATAAGACTCGGCTGTATTGCCGTCGCAATGATAACGTACATCATGGGAACCGAGCGTCCCAGTTCGCAAGTTTACAAATCAACATAACCACAGCGGTGAATCCTCTCTGAATCAGGCGGCATTACCTCCAAACAAAGGGACGACCGCGGGTGTCAAGGCGAAGACCAATCCAACAGCCCTCCCTCGTTGCCAAGCCCGACAGCATAGTGTGCTCCTCATCGGATTGAGGCTCTGCAAGGCGGCCGCCAAGCGCGGTGCATGCGTTGGCAGCCGCTTCGAACGGCAGTTTGCGCTCCAGGTCGACAGTGTAGAACTTCTTTGCGTCTGGGAGATGGAAGCACGGCTTCTCTTCGAAGATGTCTGGACACTCGGCTTTTTCGCCACGCAGCACCTGGAGATGGCGGCTATGGAATCATTGAATTATGGAGCGGGATGCAAAAGGGCTGACGCAACTTCCACAAGTGTTTGGAAAATTGCATTGTATTGCGCTTTACGTGGATCCAAAGACACCCGCCAGCAAGACATGCAAAAGTGCCAAAATCACTCCATTTTAAACTAGAGTTCAGAATCCATGGAGTATTCCATCGCGTACCAAACGACAAATTAGAAACATATTGGTCATGGTATTAATGACATACGCCAACCATCGCCCCACCCTTCCATCCCCTTTTCAACCACAGCGCAGTGCAAGTTGTTTACTTTCAAATGGCAGAGCAATACGAATGGTGCCCATTTTCTTTGGCTCATCACTCAGTATTGACCTGCGTCGCTTTACATTACTTCACGACATTCGCGGCCCGTCACCCAGACAAAATTTCACCGCGCATCTGGCTTTCGCGTTAAGATTTCAAGCCCAAACACTTTAAGAGTGCTCAGAATTCCTGTTGTCTACTGTCTTGGGAAAGCTGCGTTCTCCATCATATGAATTAATATTCTGCTCAAGTTTATAAGATGCAACTGCACTGCGAATATCGCGTGCATTACCATAAATATTTAGCAAGCATCATATTGATCTCAGACTGGCAGCGGAGACCAGAGCAGATCTCAAACACAGTTTGAGACCACGTTCCTGTGGTACAGGCTGTAGGGCGTATACTAGCACAAATTTCGCAAACTTCACCGCATATGTAGCTTGGGTTGAAAGCGAAGGACGCAAGATGTCTCTGAACGTGTTCTGATGTCCATTTTGGTACCCAGATTTCCCACAACGCAGCAACAAGTCTCCTGCCCCCGAGCGCTGTTACCTGAAGCTGGCAGGTGTCTATGTTCCCCACTCTGCAGGTGGACGTCCTCTCGATGATCCTGTCGAAAACGCTCCTGAAGTCTTGATCGTCTGCTTGAAGCTCAGACACCAACACGTCCTTTGCAACCAGACCAACCAGGAGGCCGGGAATGCCCTCCGCCGTGTCGGGGGCGTACACCGGCGCCACCGCGGTCGTCATGTCTCCAAGGCCGTCTCCATCAACGTAGAAATTGCTCCAGATGACGTCGAACCCTCGACGGCCCCATGCCAGAAATCGTATGTAGTCCAAGAACTTGAGGAGGGGATCGTCTCCCTCTGTTGAGTTGAGGCACCGTATTTCGTTCAATTACGATAAATTCAACTTATAAGAGCAGATTCAAGGTGCAGAGCGGGACTTTTTACCCACCGTTAAAACTGCAGAATACAGGAATCCTCTTTGACGATCTGACGGCAGCGTTCCAGGAGCCATGGAACTTTTTCTCATTCAATATCTCAGCTTGGTGGAAAGGCTTGCGCTTATGTTTTGCATACGCAACCCTAATTTAAATACATAGATGACACATTCCTTTCAACAGACAACAGATTCTCAAATAATCAGCGAAATCATTCTCATTGGTTCTAGATGAGCAAAACAACACTTTGCCTGTTAGTTTAAATGAAATCCTTGCCTGTACGTGATGCATAACAGCATTTCGACAATTTGCATGGTCCCATTCAATTATCAGCATACCTCAGCTGCCAACATACCTTCAATGGAAGCCCACGAGCCGTCGTTCTCACAGGCGATCATCTTCGCCAATTTGTCATCGGCATCCGACGTCATGGAGAATGTGAAGATGGTGGCGCTTTCGCCGCCCAACTTCAGCAACTCTGCCTGCTTTTCTCTTATGAAGTCCGCTACAGCGTCTGCGCCTTCGGCATTGGCGCTGCCGGGTTCCCCGCATGGCTGCCTATCATTGATGGAGCAGTCCAGGCCATCCGTGAGGAATAGTATCACCTGTGGACATACCAATGGCGTCAAAGGGACGCATGACTCTGCTGATATGCAGCGCGGACTCCCTGCGCCGTTTCGATGGGTGCTTGCGCGCTAATAGTAAACAATGAAGAAACAAAACAACATTTCTGGTGGCCATATCAACAAACTGTCATCGACGAGAGGCATTCCAGGCACCTGAATCCCTAAAGAATCAATTGAACATAGTACTGTGTTTGAGCCAGTGGACTTCAGCTTTGACAAAACAAGCGGCTTTTGAGATTATTTGGAAATATCGGATGCATCGAGCTAAAATGTGTGGGCTACAGGAAAAGCTAGAAAACCGTGTGTCTTCAGTACCGCGCAGTATGCGCCCAACCCGTATCCTATTCCATATCCAGGATATGTTAACTGCTGCCGACATTGTGGTAATGCGATGCCTGTTTCTTTTTGAAATAGTCAAATCTCAATGTAAGCTGTGAATCGTCGACAATTTCTAGCTGTTGACGCATGCACAGCTAGAAAACCGTATTTTCAAATGACTACTGGATATCGAATATGATATGGGTGCCATATCGCGCCAGTGCATATCAAGGATGTGTTTATATCTTGGACATACTCGCTCCATACCCAAGATATGGGTGCCCATAATCTGGGATATCGCGACGATATGAGAGAGGATATGGCCGCACCCCAGAATATAGTTGCCGCTGGCAAGGCGGGTTCTCACAACGGCGGCTGCCCCGACCAGCGCCGTCGCCTGCCCATTCCTGGCGCTGGGCCTTGTGGCTGGGCCACCCGTGGGAGACGCAGGGCCGGAACCTGCTCTGGCCGTACGGGGAGCAGGTTGACTCAATCCTGAAACCAGGGCCGCTTGTGTTCTCGACCCCTTCTTTGACCGCCCCGTGGCGTCGGTCGCTACCCTGCGATCCTGCGCTGAGAGCGCCAACGGCGGCCAGTCGACCATGCTGCCTTTCACGGGCCCTTCCAAACTCTCCCTCGACAGCACCCACCCCAACCCGATCGTCACCGTCGATGTGCGAATCGCAGGGAACGCGGTTTGGTCCAGACTGGGCATGTGGTCAAAGACCAGCCGCCGACTTCCTTTGCCGCCGTCCGCGCCTTTGCTTGTTTCTGTCTATGTTTGGAGGTGGATACTAACATCGTGTCATGGATACTGACGTGGTTTCGACCCCCCGTCAGGGGGTTGGATACTAACAGGGGGTGCCCACCAATACCGGGCAAATACGATATCGATCTGATGCCTGTGCACGGGGGATGGAGAAGCAAACAAAACATAGATCAGCGTAGCTAAATTACAAGTTAGTTTACTCAGTTTTGCATACATTGGGTTTGGTTTCTATAGTATTTTATTCCACTCATTGTTGTAGACAGGTTCTCGGGAACCATGGTTCAGTTCGAAAATAATTTACCTTATGGCATCCTGAGGTTGGCACAACATCCTCGGTAGCGTTGCTGGAGTTGATGAGGATGTCGAACGCAGATTGAAAGCCCGATTTGAAGTTTGTGCCCCCTCTCGGACTCACGTTTTCAATCTCACCGCGCAGCATTTCTATGTGGTCGTTGTCTGCTCGAACCAAGGTTGTCGCGCCTCCGAGCACTTCCGATTCCGAGTTGAAGGTGACGATGCTGACGAAGTCGGATATGCCGAAAGTGCCCAAGAGCCTCGAGACTGCATCCTTTGCCACTTCCCACCTCGTTTTACTCTCAAAATCACGAAACTCCACCATGCTTTCTGCGTCAAGGCAAATTCGCGCACACTTAGAATAAGAAGATGAAAAAAATCGCTAGTCTTGTTATACATATTTGGCAAGTGAGCGGCTACTTCAACTACTTTTAAACACTCTATATCGACAAACTGTGCCCGACATGAGCATTTTGGTCTTTCACATCGGATGCTTTGTCCTGATCGGGATGCGCCTCGCCAATTACAGCTGCGTATCCTTGCAGGGCATTTGACTCTCTTTCTATTTCTTGAGGAATTAATGTGAGTGCCAGAATACTCAGAATACTGGCTTTGAAGCTTGAAGTGGTCTCAGGCAATCCTTTTAAAGCGAGACATTCCCTATCAGTGAATGTTCAATTTCAGTGCAATCACCTAAAATTCCTTACTTGATGTATCCAGGATGATTACGACGTCTTTTGGTCCGCTGCTTGCGGCGTTGAACCACGGACGCTCCCGCTGCAGAGCCAGGAATGCTTTAGTTGTGCAGAATGCCTTAAAGGGCACTATTCATGATTGTAACATTATACCAACATTCAGGGAGTGCCGGCGATCTCCAGCTCTGGTGGCAGGAAAGCACCTGGTGGCGGGAAGGCATTGCATCATATGGTCAGGGGTGCGATTTGGCGCAAAATTTTGCGATGGAAAGAATGGTAACAAAACCTTCCTCCTATCCTATTTGTCAGTGCACATACTGGCAAATTGCATTGCTGGCACTGTTTATCATCATTACGGTACGCAGTTAGTACCTCTTCAAAATCGCTCTGAGGTATCTGCAGATTGCTGAAAAGAGTTCATAATGGTAGCGAGAGTCGCTCTGCTGCAAATGCAAGGCCAGATACAGTCTTAGTCACAAACTCTTGCAATTAGATGTGGAATCATCGCTGAAGGTTGCTAGATGTATACACATTGCTTACCGGGTCAAATATTCTGCAGTTGCCCACTGTCGGGTCTCCTTGATCGAGGCCTCTCGCAATTGGAAATCCCGGCCAAACTCTAAGGACAAAAACCAAAGGTGAACAACCAGGTTTTTCTGCACATTGCCGAGAAAGAAATCACCGAAAACCCTTTCAGTTGCATGCAGAAAGCCAAAAACTAAGTAGCAGTGGTACATATTACACTTTCCCCACAATAGCGTTATTCCACTGGTGTTGCTGGGAAGGCGTTGGTAAACTGCAACACTTGTTTCATATGTTTTGTTTCCAAGTAAAGAGCGCACGACTTGTTTTCGAATCCATGCACGCTTGCTGCGTTTCGTGTCTTTGATATGCTCCACAGCAATTATTTAGCTTCAGCAATTGTACAACAACTTAAACAATCTAAAGCAAGGTGGCAACATGTTGTAATTGAAGTTCGAAGGTGTGCAGCACGTGTCAGCACAACTCTGAAACCCGGAACGTTTACAAGGCTCGTATTGGGGAGCTTTCCTGG